TGAGGCTTCCGCTGCTGAAAGCTGGTATCTGGTTTGTTTGCCGTTCTATAATCGAAACAATGTATAACTTCAGCTCTGAGATCCCGGCAGGCTGAAAGCTGGTTTCTAGGGTTTTGTTTAGCTTCTTATTTGCAACATAGTACATAGTTGCTTAGAGTTGCAACTCAGAGGCCGGCAAGTGAGGCGGGGAACGTTGGAGTCTGCAGTCACTGGAGCAAGCAAGCCTCATGTTCGCTTCCAGCTGCCTGGCTGCCGGCCGCCATCTTGGCTGACAGTTAATTTGCATAAGGATATGCTGATTAGCCAATGGGAAGGGTAGCGGTCGTACGCCAATTACCATGTTTCTCTTTTATTAGTGTAGATTCTACTATTTTTTTCCTGGGTATTTAATTAAATATAGCTTTATATTTTCTATTCCAGTTTCCTTTGGTTTTGGGTGATATTGCTTTCATAATATTTAAATTTAATATTCAGTTAATTTATTTTCAAACTGAAATTTGAAAACAGCATGTAACTTTCTAAATTGTAGTTGTGTCTCATAGTGTTATCAATGGGGTGCTTTCTATGTCCCTATCTGTTTCTGGTGGAAGTGGTGTCCTTGTGATGTTGCAAGGAAAGGAATTCACTGAGACTCGCATGAGAGGATGAGTCATCTTTATTTCTGTGGAATTAAACCCTTGGGTTTCCAATGTCCCATCTCCTTCCCTCCCACCATGGGAAAAGCCCAAGCTTGTCTTCAGCAGGGATAGAGCTAAGAATACCGCCCGGAATTTCTGCTCCATGTTAGAGTCCAGTCCAGTCTAGCATCTGACTAGCTGAGCTTGTGTTCCCAGCTGCAGTCCATGGCGTGTGGGGTCCAAATGACCATAGGCTGTGCGGCTGCTTAAGGCCACATGGCAGGCGAGTGCGGGTGGAGGAGCAAGAGTGTCAGAGCACCAGAGCAGAACCAGAGAGGGAGGACTCTTTGCCTGGGGATTATAAACAAGAGCTTAACCAATTAACCCTTCAAGATTTTGCATGCTTGCAGTGGCTTCATTCCCATCCCACCCCCAGCCAATTATCTTTTCCCAGGTTAGACTGACAGTCAAGCACCTTCCCTATGTCACCCTGACTTCACTGGACATGTGTCTATCTCCCTCTTTCTTGGACCCCCTTCTGCAGTGATTTGCAGGGAATGGACTGGTGGTTCCCCGGAAAGCATAAGTTGCAGCTTCTTGGTGAAGCTGCCCAAATGACCATGCTTATAATATCTGGCCTCCCATTCGCTCTATTCCTATTTAATATTAGTTAGACAATTATGACAATAACAATAGGTTATGATAATAGTTCTCTTTTTTAATTAGTTTACCAATAATTTGTAATTTTTGTTTTCATATGTTTACTGATCAGGGGTATGATATTGTGATTTATAAGAACTACGTATTTGGTCATTCAGATGACCAAAATATATTTCTCATATATATTTGGTCTTCATCCACAGTTCCTGGCTTAGAGCTCCTAAAACCCTTGGAATTTCCTAAGTATTGAGTGACTTTTGGATCCCACCTAACAATGGGGACTGGTTGCCTAGGGAACCGTTCGAGGATTAGAACTTTCAATTCTGCCTTGGACCTCCTAGGAGGGGAGAGGGCCAGAGGCTGAATCCATCATCAGTGGCCAGTGATTTAATCAGTCATGACTATGTAATGACGCCTCCATAGAAATCCAAGAGGACAGTTTCAGAGGAGAGACCTTTTGGTTGGTGAATAGGAGGTGCTGAGAGAAGGGTGAGTCTGAAGAAGGCTTGAAAGTTTCACACCATTTCCCCAAGCCTTACCCTATGCATTTCTTT